TCCTGGTGATTGGCCCAAAGTCACCCAGTCAGGCAGGACTAGAACTCAACGTCTCCTGGTGATTGGCCCAAAGTCACCTAGTTAAGCGGGATAAGAATGCATCGTTTCCTGGTGATTGACCCAAAGTCACCCAATTAATCAGGACTAGAACTCACTGTCTCCTGGTGATTGACCCAAAGTCACCCAATTAATCAGGACTAGAACTCACCGTCTCCTGGTGATTGGCCCAAAGTCACCCAGCTGCCTTTCCTGCCTAAGGTGGACTAGAACTCATCATCATCTGGTGATTGGCCCAGTCACCCAATTAGGCAGGACTACAACTAACCATCGCCTGGTTATTGGCCCCCCAATAGGCGGGACTAGAACTCACAGTCTCCTGGTGATTGGCCCAAACTCACCCAGTTGGCTTTCATGCCTAAGGCAAACTAGAACTCATTGTCTCCTAGTGATTGGCTTAAAATCACCCAGCCGGCTTTCCTGTCTTAAGTCTGAACTAGAACTCACTCGCTGTCTCCCAGTTTCTAGCCCAGGCAAGAAAACCCCCATTTCAGGGACTCCACAGAAGTGATGCCGTGTGTCTGGTGACACCATTGTGCAAACAATCAAGAGCGTTTGTGTCACTGGCCACATCCCCGTGGCATCACCTTCACTCTACTTTTGTGTGGCCTTCTCGTTTTCATATGCCAGGGGGATTCTGGGAACTGAAGTCCACCGCTTTGGAGTTTAGCAGGGCGAGAATACACGGGCGGTTCAGCCACGAAGGTGATGTCATTTAGAACAAGGGTCCCCAACCTTGGCCACTTCAAGTCTGGAGGACTTCAACTCCCAGAATTCCCCCCGGCCAGCATATCTTACTCTCTTGTAATCCCTTCCTCTGCAATCTCTCTCTCCACTTTGGGGGGGGGACAAGAGAGAAAGAAACTGACGCGGCTGGCTGGGGAATTCTGGGAGTTGAAGTCCTCCACGCTTAAAAGTTGCCGTGGTTGGTGGACTCTGCATTTAGAAGAGAGGTCTCCAGCCATGGCCACCTAAAGACCGATGGACTTCAACTCCCAGAATTCCTCAGCCAGAATTCTGGGAGTTGCTCTGTAGGTCTTCAGGTTGCCGTGGTGACCCATAAGGCCTGCAGGGTGGTTCCACTAAGAAGGCTGAGCGGCGGTGTAATAATAGGACTTCCTCCAGAAGTTTTCTAGAACTTCTTTGGTGGTCTTGAGATGTTCGTATAACTAGTCTGGCTGGTGTTTTGGCGTCTTCTCCGCCTCTGCGGTCCACGTTTAGCTCTTCCAGAGCATTTAGGACTGTGGTGGCTAGCCTGTTTGGGCTCTTGTGCCAAAAATCGTACGCTCGCGCTCGTGTGCCTGCATCCAGAAGGCAATGCGCATCCCCCCACTACGCATGCACACGCAATCCCCACTACCTCTGCTGCCCCCTTACCTGCAATGCACCTCACGGCTGATTTTGGGTCGGTTTGAGGCCTTTTTCGGCCTCCCAGGAAGGCATCTGCAGGCTTTGCAGGCCAAAAACTAGGCCCGTTTTGCCACTTCTGTATTTCCCGGAAAAACAGGAAGTGATGAAATGGGCCTAGTTTTTGGCCTGCAGAAACCTTCCTGAAGCCTCCGGGAGGCTGAAAAAAGGCCTCAAACTGGCCGAAAATCAGCTGTGAGGCACGCGCACGTGCAGGGAACTAAGTTTGCCTGTAGCTTGCGTGCCACCTGTGTGGCACGCATGCCATAGGTTCACCATCACAGGTTTAGGATGACCCTTCCTTGAGGAGCGAGCGTTTCCCCTTCAAACCAAGCTCTGTGGTCCTCGCTGGTGTCCGCCCACCGTGACGCGTCTCTCTTCCTTTCCAGAAGCTGAGCTGTGGCATGCAGGCGGATGAAGGGACCGACTGGTTACTCGAACTCCTGACCGAAGTGCAGCTTCAGCAGTACTTCCTCCGGATCCGTGATGACCTCAACGTCACTCGCCTGTCGCACTTTGAGTATGTCAAGAATGAGGACCTGGAGAAAATCGGAATGGGGAGACCAGGTGAGTGGACCTCCGGCCTGTCCCACCTCCTTGGACCCAGACGTTTTTGCAACGTATTAGGGTGTAAAGAAGCACAATTGCAGGGTTTTGTGATTTTTGCAAACGGTCATTACAGAGATCAAACTTGTATTTTGCTCAGTGAGATAGTTGTTAAGTGAGTTTTGCCTCATTTCGTGCCACGGTTGTTGAGCGAATCCCTGCGGTTGTTAAGCAAGTGAGTCTGGATTTTCCATTGACGTTGTGGTTCGCTGGCAACCTGTGCAGATGGCAGCGGAATTGGACAGTGGGGAAGAAAGGGGATCGGTCCGGGAGTCTGGGGAGGACTCGGACGAGGGTCCTGCATCCGATGGCGAGATGGGGCCAGGGTCATCTGGGAGTGGGGTGCTGCCGGAGCCTTTGGAGTCTGGCAGCAGCAAGGAAGAGGAACCAGGGGAGCCTGTTCCCAGTGAGCGTATGCACAGAGCTGCTAGATGGTGAGAGCAGCTGAGACAAAAGGGGCAACTCAGGAATAAGGCTGGGAGGTGATTGCCCCTCCCACAAGGGATAAAAGTCAGACCAAGATGACAAAACCTTTGCAGGAAGCAAAGTCGTTCGTTGAGTTCAGATTCATCCTTGAAGCTCTTTGTACTTTTGTTCGTTTTTTTCCTAGTTCATTTGACACTTTTGTTGTTGGCAGCACTTCACAGAAACGAAAGGTGGGTGCTTATCTCGAGGGACTGTTTGAGATTCATTACTAGCTGGGAATGAAAATAATTCCCAGCGTTGCAATAAAACAAGACTTATTTTTAAAATAAGCGTATGTGTAATTAACGGTCTCAAAAGCCTTGGTCAGAACAATTGACTTGGCTGGTCAAAAGGTCGCAAAAGAGGATCCTGGGACACAGCAGCTGTCATAAATACGAGTCAGTGGCCAAGCGCCTTAATGTTGATTACGTGACCGCTGCAACGGACGTTAAGTGGGAAAAACGATAGCAAAGGCCACCTTTTTCCAGCCCCGCTGTAACTTCGAACGATCGCTAAACGAACTGTTGTAAGACGAGGCCTATCTCTAGCGCAGAAGACCAATTTTAAAGCAATGTTTTCATGTGCGGGTAGTCCTCGGTTTACGACCACAGTGGAGCCCACAGATTCCGTGGTTAACCAAAACAGCTCGATGAGTTGTGTCCTGTTTTACAACCGTTTTTGTCCCAGTTAAGCGAACCCATCGCCATTGTTAAAAGTGAATCGTTCGATTGTTAAGCGAATCTGGCTTTCCCCTCACTGACTTCGTTGAACAGATAATCAAGAGTTGGAAGGGACCTTGTAGGTCATCTAGTCCAACCCCCTCGTTCAAGCAAGTTTCTCGGAGGCTGGCTGGGAAGGTCACAAAATGGGAACCTAGGACATTGCTAAACTCATGCTGAACCCCTGAATTTTGATCATGGGGAGGTTGCATCTGTCATAAGTCACTATTTCCATTGTCATTGTAACTCTGGTCACTAAACGAACGATTTAAGTCGAGGCCTAGCCGTGGGTAAAGTTTGAGAACTTTTAATTTCAGTGTTTTGGAACTGGCCGGATTAGAGTGAAACAGAGCTCGTAGCGCCAACTTTCTATAAAGTTGGTGGAATTACGTAGCCCCCTCCCCCCAAAAAACTTCCAACGCGGAGCAAGTACGTAGAACAGACTATCTGTTGATTCTTCCTCCTCCCCCCCTTCCCCCCCCCAGTTTTGTGACTGCTTGTTTTATTTCTGTAGGTCAGAGACGCCTCTGGGAGGCCGTGAAGAGGAGGAAGGCTGTGTGCAAACGGAAATCCTGGATGAGCAAGGTGAGAGAAAGAACGGGGAGGAGGGGCTCCTGAGGACTAGAAACCTGGCAGAGTCTTTAAAAAGAAAAACAGAAAGGTTTATGGGCCAGTCACCAGGAGACTGTGAGTTCTAGTCCCGCTTTCGACACGAAAGCAGGAGTGGTTGACTTTGGGCCAGTCTCCAGGCAACGGCGAGTTCTAGTTTCCTGCCTTTACTGTGAAAGCCGGCTGGGTGACTTTGGGCCTCTTCCTCAGCCCGAACTACCTCACAGGGTTGTTGTAGTGTGAAAAAAAATAGGAGGAGGAAGGCCTATTAGGTTGTAGGTGGGATAAAAAGAAAAATCTATATATAAAAAAGCAAAATACCCCTCATGCATCATCACAAAATCTCCAGAACCGTAAAGCCTACAAACTTGAAATTGGGCACCTATGTTCCTCTTGGCTTCTAGGGGCTCACTAAGAAAGGATTTTTCCAAATGACCCTCAGAGCATTAGCATTTCCATTATTATTATTATTATTATTATTATTATTATTATTATTATTATTATTATTATTATTATTATTATTATTATTAT